CATGGCCCACGTACCCAGCGCAGGTTGGCACCAGTAGCCTGCAGAACTCACAGCAACAGAAGGGCATTGTCATGGCGCCAAGCATCTCCCAGACCCCCTCTGTGCCCAGCTATGCTCCTTGAACAATGGGGACCCCCTTCTATTAGAGGGTGGCCCCCATGTTAGGTGAATGATCCTGGAGGATCCCCAGGAAATCAGGGTTTACTCTCTCAGACTGGGGCACTGCTATAGGATTTTACTATCGGGAGATCCCTAATTGGAACTGGGCTGAACTCAGACTGCACCAGTAGCAGGTCCTGGGTGGTCCCAGAAAAGAAGGTCATCTCCACATGTTGAGACTTTCTCAGGCCCCTCCTGGATGCTCAGTCAGATTTACTTAGGCATTGCAGAGTCCTGGGACCCTTCCTGAGGGAGAAAGGAAAGGCTCTACAGGGCAAAATTGAGCCTAGAAGGGACCTGGGCTGGCTCAGCTAAGGAAGGCAGGACAGAATCCAGTTCAGCACTGGGAAAGGGCAGGTCTGGGGAGGGAACCCCCTCCACCGCATGCACACCTATGCTTACGCAAACTCGGAAAACTTAAGTGGGATGGGCCAAGGCAGGAACAGTTCAGCTGCCCTGGGATGGACGTACGTGCCTGCTGCTGGATCACCCGGGGTACATAGGGTTTGGGGACAGCCAAGGTCCCCGCAGGAGGCTCTGAAGGCCAGGCTACCAAGGATGAAATGTGCTCAGCAGGTGCATGTTCAGAAAAGAAAATACACTTGTGATTTCTATGCTGTGCTCTGCCTGGGCAGCACAACAGAGGAACAAGGGGTTAAATGCTGAGCAAATGCCGTGACAACTGCCTCCAAACTATTTATAGACGCATTTATCTCTTTCGTTCCTGCCAACTGGACCTGTGGCTGTCATTCACAGGCCAGAGTAAGTCACTCCACAAATAAACAGACACTGCCCCAAAATAAAGATTGAGAGAGGAAGAAAGTGGCCCTAGTGTGTGACCCTTCTGCCCGGAAGGCCTGGGTTTCCCTGTGGTAGCTCACGGGCATGGGGGTCCTGATGGAGCTGAGTTGCCCTGGCCCCAGGCTTCTCTTGAGGCTACAGTGAAAGCTCGGAGAGCTCTCCACGTGAGGAGAGCCAGGGGAGGAGAAACGCCCTGTTTGGGCAGACACTGTCAGCCAGAGCTTTGGGAGGAAACACTTGCTTCTCCTCTTCTGTCTCTGCCAACACTGAGCGGACCAGAGACTTCCAGCAGCTCTGGCTGCTCGGAATGAAAAACGGGGGTTGTATCAGCAGGAGGAGGAAGGGTCGCCTATGGCCATTTGCCTCCAGTCCTAGAGATAGAGCTCGGGGAGGGGCTCTGTTGCCAATAGTGGGCGAATGTCCTCCACCCTCTGCCACTCTCGCTGGCTGGCTCACTACCCGGCTCTTCCACCAAAGCAGGAGAGGGATGCCGCAAAGGTTGAGCCCCTGTGAGGCACGACACCCTGCCCTTCTGTAGCCAGAGCTAGGGTCTGCAAGATGCACCATGGGAACTGGTGCCACCTTGTGCTCTGGCTCTTGGAGGCTGGGAAGACCCTCCCTGGGTCCATGTATTGCCAGGCATCTGCTCCTAGTTCTCTGCTTACCTTTCTAGTGCTGCCCAGAAAATAATGAAACTGTAATCAGGGTGATGCACTGTACCCCCATCCTCCTCTGGGCCAGAGAGGCCAGGGACAGCCACAGTCCCTCTCTGGAAGCCTCAGCCCTTCAGGATGGGGAAGGGGCACCCTCTGCTCCCCAAGTCCAGAACACTCCCCCTAAGGAGGGTTGCAGGTGAGCAGTGGCCCTGGCTTTCTGGCCGCATTCTGCCCTAATAAAGACGTTTATAGTTTTAACCATCAAATAAAGTGCTTAACTCCACCAAGCTTCCCCCCAGCTCCCCCCGCCTCGCACCCCGACTCAGCCACTCTGCAGCTTCATTTAGCAGGCCAGTGGCGAGGAAAAAAAAGAAAGAAAGAAAGAAAAAAAATTCATTAATTTTTATTAACAGGGAGAGCCATTTGTTCCCTGTGACAATATTTGACTTGTCGAAATGATTTTCACCCCTGCCACGAGGTGCGCGCTCCCCACATACATCACCCGATTACTCAGAGCGCGCCGGCCGCAGTCATTAGGCAGTGAATTAACGACAGTCCCCACCACTATTAATCACCCTGACAAAGGCGTTAGCTCGCCGCTGACCCGAGCGCGGCCCGCGGACACGGCAGCCAGGAGAGAGGGCCGAGGGGCTGCCAGAGGCACTGGGGCTGCAGCAGGCTCCCAGCCTTTCCCTGCCTGCCCCTGGAGATCTTGGTGGGGTGACGGGAGCCCAGAGACTGGTGTGGCAGCACAGGCCCTGTGGGGTGGGCAGCAGGCTCCCTGTTTCTCTTCGTTGGCTGTCCATTTCCCTCTGTTATCCCTCCTTGTCAGAAGGCAGAGACGGTACCTAACACGTGACCAGCTGCGTCTGTTCTGCACCACAGCAGCCCAGGAGTGAGGCTTCTTTTTATGCCCATCTGATGGATCAGTAAAGTGAGGCACAGAGAAGCCAGACCTGCCTGAGGTCTAAACCAGCCAGGGGTGTCAAACCCAGGTCTAACCGGCTCCAAGGCCCATGCTCTTGGTTCTCAGCCTCTAAACAAATATCCCCCAACCCAATGTTCTGAAGAAAACTGTTGGGGAATTGGCTTCTGTAAAGTAAATGGAGTGCTTCTTTTGGCTCCTGATAAGCTATTTTTTCCCCTTAAGTTTGCTATAGGGTGCATGTGCTCACTGGGGAGAGAGAGAGAGAGAGAGAGGGAGAGAGAAAGAGAGAAATCATCCCTGAGGAGGGGTGGTCACAATGCATTCCTTACTCTTCCGCTCTCCTCTCAGGAGTTTAGGCACACATACCCAGTGTGCTTGTCAAGTCGCCAGGTCTGGGACTTGGACCATGTCGTCAGCCACGTGGAATCCAACTGCCTTAACCACCACACCACCTGGCTGACCCAGCTCCTGATTCCACAGAAGCACTCAGAAGTGGTTGGGAACCAGCAGTTAGCGTAATGGCTATGTCGCTGGACTCCCATGTAGTCGACGGCAATTCGAGTCCCAGACCTGGTGGCTTAAACTCACGCCGGGCACGTGTGCATGCGTGCCCAAGATCCCTAGAGGAGAATGGAGGAGAAGAGATTACGGCGTGGCCATCCTCCCTGGGGGGTGATTCTTGCTCTCTCTGTCTTTCTGGCGAGCACACGTGCCCTATAGCAAAAACCTCTCAAAAAAAAAAAAAAAAAAAAGGGGAAAGGGGAAATT